TGTTTTGGCTTGTCTACGTGTCTATATATGTTGTGAGAACCGGAAGTCCTCATACTCCTTCCCGGCGGCCGCCAACACCAGTCTGGACAGCTCCGCCCGCCCCTTCAGGTTCAGGTAATTCAGCTTCAGTTTTGCGTCTGCCATTTTTTTTTCTTAACTGAAGTAGAAAAAAAGTGAGGCATTATGTTGAAATCTCAAGCTTGTCAAAATAATGATATCGAAGATGCAGGCTTCTTTTTTCGCCATTTCGCCAATTTTTATGCAATTTTTATGCAATTTTTTTTTTTGGGGGGGGGCTCAATATCTTTTATGTCCACGTAAAAACACATTTCCATGTACTGAAAAATGTTTATTGAAGGCATAAAAAATGTAAATTTTCATTTTTCAAGGACTCTCAAGCTTGAAATTACCAAAGTTTGGCGGCCATTTACCATACCTCCGTCAATCACAAGGTCAGAAACAAGTCAATGTTTTAACTGCTCTATCAAATTCGTAAGATTTTTCTGGGGTCGCTATTAAGATATTCAAGGTTATTGCATTTTAAAAAAAGCTTGACATGTGAAACTCAATATATTTACATCAAATTTATCAAAACTAGGCGAAGGTAGGAACTAAGCAGATAGAATTTTGTAATTCTAGAGAAGCGGAAGTTTATGTAACACGGTGTCATAATGGGTGGTCTCTGGGTTTTGTCCTTGAGCAAGAAAGCACGGTCACCTTAGCTTAAAAGAAGAAAAACAAAACAAAACAAAACAAAACAATTTTTTTTAAAGCAAAAACCGGGGCGGTGCCCAGTGCACAGAAGAGACCGGCTATGGGATGTTTGGAAAGTTGTCTGTATCGTTTACGATTATTATGCATTTATTGTTATTCTTTGAGTGAATATTATGTGTGTGTAGTTGATGATAATATAATTAATGTTATGTATTCGTGTAAGAATGTCCTGTTTACCATTGCAACCCAGATTTGCCCACGAGGATCAACGAAGGGCTATTATTATTATTATTAT